CTGGTTGGTTCTCCGGGTGGAGAGGGGAGCTTGGGGAGGGGAGGAGGAGGAGGCTGCCCGTCACCTCGCCGCCGCGGGTTCAGAGGCCAGGGCCTCGTCGAGGCGGTTCCCGGTCTGGGCCCCAGTGCCTTCGCCTGGTCCTCCCTCTCCTGCCCCGCACCCGGCCGTTCCCGGGCAGGACCCAGGAGCCTCTTGTGCTGTGAACCTGGGTCCAGTTTACTCCAGGACTTGGCGGATGACATGGACGCGTTCACGTCTGAGTTTTCAGTTGCTTCTTTGAAATACAGTGAGGTTGCTTGTAACTTCCCACCGACCGCTCCCCAAGGCAGGGCGGCTTCTCCCCGCGAGGAGCTCTTGAGGAGCTCTTGGGGCCGCCGAGCAGGAGTTGCCACAGGGAAGTGAGCCTGGCTCCTCCGGACTGGCCGCCCAGCAGGCACACACGCGCCTTACACATGCGCCAGGAGGCTCCGGTGCTGTGGGGGCCCTCAGACCTGGAGAGGAGGCAGTGGTGGGCAGCAGTGACTGGCCCTGGGAAGGCAGCCCTGCTGTCCCTGGTCACTGCGCTTCCTTCCTGCTTCCGGGTCCCTTTCCTCAGGCCTGCGAAGTCAGCTGAGCGCCCAGAGCAGGCCTGGAGGGGCTGGGGAAGAGACTCCTAGGAGAGGGATCCCTGCTCCACCGACCTGTCCCCACCCGAGGCCTCGCTTTGCCCGCACATCAGAGCTCTAGAGATGCGGGGGTCAGGTACAGATCCACCCGTGTGCTGGTGGCTGCACAGCGGAGCCTGCGTGCACACCTTTCTGCTGCCTGGATACGGAGTTGTGTACCTGGCCTGGGGCTTGCCTCAGCTGCCAGCCATACCCCTTGGCATTTCAGACGGACCATGTGGACCCTGGTGGGCTGGGCCACCTTGGTGGCAGGGCTGGTGGCTGGAACACGGTGCCCAGACGGCCAGGTCTGCCCAGTGGCCTGCTGTCCAGATCCAGGAGGAGCCAGTTACAGCTGCTGTGACCCGGGGGTGGTGAGTCCCTGCAGCCGGTGAGCCTGGCACTGGGGCGGCCAGGGAGGCAGCCAAGCCATTGGTTGATCTCCCCTCTGCCAGGACACGTGGCCCACAGCCCTGAGTGGGCGCCTGGGCAGCCCCTGCCAGAACACCGCCCACTGCTCCACTGGCCACTCTTGTGTCCTCACTGCCTCAGGGACTTCCAGCTGCTGCCCGTTCTCACAGGTGGGGTTTTGATTTGCCCTTGCGAAGCCCCGCGCTCCCTGCCCCATGTGGGGGTCTTTGTCCACGCAGGTTTCTGTGTCCCCCAGGCTGAGGCATGTGGGGACGGCCACCACTGCTGTCCTAGAGGCTTCCTCTGCAGTGCGGACGCGCGGACCTGCATCCTAAGACCAGGTGTGGCCAGGTGCCTGAGGAGGCTGCAGTTGGGGTGTGGGCCTGGCACATCCTGCTGCCCAGCCACTGGGTGCCTGGATTCCTGTCCTTGAGTCCTGTCCATGTGCTCTGACACGGGGGACAGGTGGGGTGCTGGGTGGGAGAGGCGGTGCCGGGCTGACCTGATGCCTACTTGCGTGGGTGCCCCTGGCAACATTTGAAACACGCTGGCTGGTGGGGAGTATGGGTAGGGGTCCTGGGGGTCCCCATAGCTGAGCCACGGGCCCTGGAGGCCCTACTCCCTGAGTGATGAGGCACCTTGATGGCATCCTCCTCATCTTGTGTGCAGGGGGTCACCTGCTGGGCACTGTCCAGTGTCCAGGCGGCGAGTTCCAGTGCCCCGGGTCCTCCACATGCTGCCGCATGCCTGACGGCTCCTGGGGGTGCTGCCCTTTGTCTGAGGTACGGGCGTCTGGGGCGCTGGTGAGTGGGGAAGGCAGAGGGGCTTACGACTGGTTCTTCCCAGGCATCCTGCTGTGAAGACAGTGTGTACTGCTGTCCCCACGGGGCCTACTGTGACCTGGTACACGGCCGCTGTGTCATAGCCACGGGCACCCAGCCCCTGGCCAGGAAGGTCCCCGCCCAGAGGACGGATAGGACAGGTGCAGAGGGGGCAGGCATTGGGCCAGGGACTGCCCTGCCCCCCGCCCCCCTTCCAGCCGCTCTGCCCAGCTCCGTCCTGTGCCCTGACAAGCGGTCCCAGTGCCCAGATGACACCACCTGCTGCCAGCTGTCCGGTGGAGAGTACGGCTGCTGCCCGATGCCCAGTGTGAGTGTGGTGGAGCTGCTATCTGGCTGTGTTCTCTTGGCCACCTGAGGCCCATGCTGCTGCTGCTGGCACTGCCCCCAAGCTGTCCCTGTCCCCACCCAGGCCGTCTGCTGTTCTGACCGCCTGCACTGCTGCCCCCAGGACACGGTGTGTGACCTGAAGCGGAGCACGTGCCTGTCCCCGGAGACGGCCAAGGCCCTGCTGCCCGCAGTGCCTTCGTGGACAGGTACTGGTGACTGCGCCAAACACCTGCACTGCTCAGCTGTCCTGGGCACAAGGGTGGTGTTGATGGGACCGGGTGGGCACCCCTCCATTCTGTCCATACCACCTTGGCTCCGGACAGCCATGGGGTGGCACACAATGGGCCCATTCTCAAGGGCGGGCAACCCGGGTTGCCCTCCGCCTGCCCGCAGTGGGGGACGTGGAGTGTGACCAGGAGGTGAGCTGCCCAGATGGCTACACGTGCTGCCGCCTGCAGTCGGGGGCCTGGGGCTGCTGCCCCTTCAAGAAGGTACGAGGGCCAGGGGTAGTGGTGGGGGCAGCCAGCGAGGCCCAGGCCCACTGTCCTCTGTCCCCAAGGCCGTGTGCTGTGAGGACCACGTCCACTGCTGTCCTGAGGGATTCACGTGCCACACGGAGAAGGGGACATGTGAGCAGGGGGTGCTCCAGGTGCCCTGGGTGCGGAAGACCCAGTCCCACCCCAGTCCGCCAAAGAGTGGTGTCCCCTGCGACAACTTCGCCAGCTGCCCCCAGGGCCACACCTGCTGCCGCATTGCTTCTGGGGAGTGGGGCTGCTGTCCCACCCCTGAGGTGCATGGGAGAGGGTGGCACAAGGGGTGGCCTTGCCCACTGTGGTACCGGCTCTTACTTGGAGCCAGGGCTGTGAGCCAGGCATTGTTGCACCCCAGAACCCCCTTTCTGCCCGCCACAGGCTGTCTGCTGCTCTGACCACGGGCAGTGCTGTCCCCGGGGTTACTTGTGCACAGCTGACGGGCAGTGTCAGATGGGCGGCAGGGTGGTGGCAGGGCTGGAGAAGACGCCTGCCCACCCGACACCCCTGGCCCACACCGGCGACATCTGCTGTGACAAGCACACCAGTTGCCCTGTAGGCCAGACCTGCTGCCCCAGCTTGGGCGGGGGCTGGGCCTGCTGCCAGCTGCCACACGTGAGCACCTGCTGCCCACTGGGAAGAGGGGGCCCCCACCTGGGAGGCCACAGGCGAGTTAGCAGACACCGGTGCCGCCCCCAGGCCGTGTGTTGTGAGGACCACCAGCACTGCTGCCCAGCGGGCTACACCTGCAATGTGAAGGCCCGGACCTGTGAGAAGGGGCTGGACGCCACCCACCCTGCTGCCCGCCTGGCCCTACACTCCGATGGGAGGGTGACAGATGTGGCCTGCGGGGACGGGCACTTTTGTCACGATGAGCAGACCTGTTGCAGAGACAGCCGGGGAGGCTGGGCCTGCTGCCCCTTCCGCCAGGTTAGTGTCTCCGGCCTGGGCGCAGGAGTGGGGCCTTGTCCTGCCTTGACTGACTGTGCCCCCACCCCCAGGGCTTCTGCTGTATGGACCGGCGCCACTGCTGTCCTTTCGGCTTCCAATGTGCGGGCAGAGGAACAAAATGTGTCCGTAGGAAGACTCTGCTTCAATGGGACACCCTGCTGTGGGGCCCTGCACTGAGACCACTGCTGTAAGGGCCGGGGACCCAGCACCCCTCGCTCTGGGACGCTGCCGGGTTGCCCACTCAGCAGGCCTTCCCAGCTTCCATCTCTGACCCCACCCCTTCTGAGTGTCCCCTCGCCAGGGCAGACCTGGGCTGTGGCAGACAGTCACACTCCTGTGGTCAGGTGCTGTCCTCACCACAGGTGTGCACGTGTGTGTGTGTGTGTGTGTGTGTGTGTGTGTGTGTGTGTGTGCGAGCACTCCAGTAAAGTTTGTACATGCTCTGCTGGTGTTCGATCCAGCCTTCTCTTTTACCCCAGGAACCCTTGAGCCAGGTCCCCACCCCACAGAGACACACGTGTGACCCTTACTGGCTTTATATTTGCTGCTGCCCTTGGCCCATCCCATGACCCCAGCCCTTGGGGCTGCCCCAGCCTCTCCACCCTGTGACCTCCCAGCCCAGGGGTGGCCCGTCCCGGGCAGCACCCCTCCCCTCCCTAGGGACCTTTGGGTCACCCTCCTGCATACCCCCAGCCCCCCTCCCGGGGCCCCACATGGCGTCGCCCCTTTGGGCTACTTGACGTTGAAGACCATGAGCGGCCGCTCCTCGCGCCGCTGCCAGGGACTCTTCTTGTCACCCGAGTCGTCGCCCCCGTCGGCACCCAGCTCATCCTCGGGGCTGGTGAGCGAGTCGCGCCGC